AACCGCAAATATTTCATATAGTATATATCAAGTACGTATGTATATGTATATGTAAGTGACCATGTATAGTATGTGCATTGGCGACCGCAGATTAGATTAAATTCGTTATTACTTTACTTTAAGGCGTTCATGCGGTTTTCTCCACACCCCCAAAAAGCCCCACCTCTTAACTCTCTAGTATCTACCACTCTCTTTCTCTCATTTTCTCTCTGTTTATCTATCTTTCATAGTTTGGCTCTCACCATTCATTTATTCATTCATTCATTCATTACAACCATATCGCAACCTTTAAGCTACGCTTTTGTTGCTCGTCTGTTGCTTTGTTTGTTTGTTTGTTTGCATCACTAGAAAAAACGCAGAAATAATAAAACTAGTTGTGGTACCCCTATCTTTCTCTCTCTCTTTATACCGGTTTTCCTATATATATATATATATATAAAGGTATACGCTTTACAGGGGCTATTGGAATATTGCAAATTATTTGCTCAATATTTCAGCTATTAATATAAAACTAATCGTTTTGTGTTTTTTTTAATACACAATTACTTTAAAATTCAGACTGTTTAAACGATTTTGGATATAAAATGGATCATACACAACTGGAAGAAAATCACTTCTTTTTAAAATAATAAAGCTTTTAAAATCAGATATAATAGTCTAGAAACAATTCTACAAATATCCGTTTTTTCTAAAAACGAGTATTATTTCCAAACTAAAGGAAAGTACAGCTTAGTCAGTGAGCAAGGGTATAACAAAATCGGATTGCCAAAGTTAGTTATTAGTGTAGTTTTCTTTTTTTATGTTTTTGCTGCCGCTTTTTACTGTGCAATTTAATTGGCAGTTTCTATTGTTGGACTCTCGAAAGTAAACATGCAAAGGCAGTTAGGCAAAGCTAAGGAAAGGAAAGAAATATACAGTAAAAGGCTTTCGTGCACCAGCGCCGAAAAATTCAATGACGTCACATGCACCGAAAGACGTCATCAATTGATTACAGGTGGGAGAGTGGGCCAGTGGGTAGTAATTGGGCGGTGGGTGGCGCTTGAGTGGCGGCAGAGTTGCAACTGCGTCGCAAAATAATTCAATAACCACAAAACGAAGCGAGCAAGTGCTTAGATCATTCACAATAGCGGACCAAAAAGGGGCGAAAATAACACACAAACACAGCTGTGTTAAAAATAGTAGTAGTAATAAAGTTTTTAGCGCTTAGAAACATGTGTAAAAACGTTCATTCTGAGAGCAATTATTATTATTATTACTATTAGTCCAGAATATGACGTCGTAGCTTAGTTTTTAAAATATTTACTATAATCACTTGAATACAGTAAGTATATATATAATCTTTTTTGTTATATCGAGAAACTAAAAGAGGGCCATGTGAGAGTTAAACTTAAATGAAGTTTTAGAAAGTAGGACTGACAACTTACTTAATAATCAAACCAAGAATAAAAATTTAATTTTTTGAAATCTAAAATTCATGAGAAATAGCAACTGCATGTTTGGAAATTGTTAATTTTTTCCCCAATTTTGAGTTAAAATTGTACTTATAATCATGGAAAACATCGTGTTAAATCGGGGTGGAACGTTTAATAGAGCTTGAATTAAATATTTAAATACTTAATGCGCTGCGACTTGCGGAAAATACGACATATTGCTTCTATAATAGACATACTTATATGTATTACTCCTACAATTATATTGACCGCAATCGTGTGAGCACGAAAGGTCAGCGGGGCGTTGGGGGTTGGGGCTTTAAGGGGGTCTTGGGTGCTAATGTTCGTGGGGTGGTGAGAACTTCTTGGCAGCGGACAAGTGTCCTTTCGTCTTTGTTGTGACGCCGTGCTTTTTGGCTGACAATGATGATGAGTCATGAAGTCATGAAGGAGAGAATGCTTTTTCATTTTTCCTTTTTCGCTTTCTGTTTTAACACTCGATTCCGATTGGGGTTTCGGTGTGGGGGAATGCGGATTCTGCTCACCTTTGTCATTGGGATAGCTGGGATAGACGTTCAGCTGCTCATCGTCGCGGGAAACTTGCGTGATTATTGATGTTGCATCCATTTAAGACTTCGGCTTTGGGCTCCACCACACTCCGCTCGTTTAACAGGTTGATTCAGATCGGATAGCTGCAAAATGTTGCACACACATGAGAGATACACATGACAATAATGATAATTGCGAAGCGGCGGCGCTCTTTCCCACTTCAACTTCAACTTCCACATTCTACTTCCAATTCCACTTCCATGTTTTCTTCTTTTTTCTTCGATATATGTATATAGCACACAAACACACACAACTTGCACACATACGCAGCAATTGATGTACAACGACAACAACAACAGGCAGGCAGGCTGCCCCAGACAGTGGAATTTTACAATTACGCTTTGGCCGTCCGTTCGCTGCGATGCAAATGGGTTTTCCCTTTGATATTCACCTCTCTCGCTCTGGCTCTCTTTCTTTCTCTCTCTTTCTTTTGCTTTGCACAGTAATGCACTTTCGCCTTCGCCTTTTTGTTGTTTTAACTTAAAAACTGATATTCGCTTTCTTTTCCTTCGCTCTTGTTTTTGGTTGGGCTCATTCTTTTACTCTTTTATCACGTCTGCTTTTCGCACACAGCTTCGGAGCGTTTTATTTATAAACGCCCACACACATTTACACAAACACACACGCACGCACACTGGCTCGGCCCTGATGTTTTCGGTTTTCTCGTTCTTTAATTTTTCGCACTCGGTTTCACTGCTCGCATCTTGCGTTTTCTATTAATTAATCGCTCTCCGGATCGCGCAAAAAACAAAACGCGTACGACGAAAAAAAGTGAGGAATAGCGCAAAAAACAAACGCGTGGACCAGTGTGACCGAGTGTTTCTTGAGATAATTAGCGTGAAATAGTTTGATTTTCCCCCTAAAAAATCTCAAATACATAAAATATCAACTATAAGTGTGGCCAGATTAAAATTGGGCTTAACGGTCTATCTGGCAACGCACCAGTGCTGCCAGATGTCTAACTATCGATCAAGACCTATCGGAGAAAGCACCAGTTCCAAACAGCTGCAACAGAACTGGTTCCGCAGAATGGAATAGTAAATACAAATTAAGTTAAAACAGAAAAAACAATATGAAAATGTACGACGCTCTGGAACGCTGTCCGGGCGCCTACTGCGGTCGATCGCCACTGGGTAACGACACCTGGAGCAGCTGCGGCGTCTGCCCGCGCGGATCTCGGGTATGCACTGAATTGGTGCTTGGAATTGGTTGATTCTTTGGTTTAATGGACCCTTCTAAAGGTAAACGCTAGCTACGCCTGCTCCCCGTGTCGCGACGAACTGACCCCGTACTCCTGGCTGTACCTGGGCTTCATGACCATGCTGCCCCTAATGATGCACTGCTTCTTCATCGACATGGACGCCAAGGATCGCAAGTGAGCGGGCTGTTCGCGGTGCTATTGCCCTTGAATGGATTAACATAGCTACTCTTGTTATTTTAGATTCTCCCGCAAGCAGCTGATCCTAACAGCCAGCGCCTTCATCGAGGTGGCCCTGTCCGCCATCCTGGCCACCTTGTTCATGGAGCCCATGTGGGAGCTGCGCCTGTACGCCTGTGATGCGCGCAAGCTCACGGACTGGTACACGTTGTTTTACAACCCCAGTCCCAACTACGAGGCCCGGCTCTACTGCACCCAGGAGGCAGTCTATCCACTGCAAACTATCGTCTTGGTGTTTTACTTCCTGTGTCTGGTCAACATGTTTCTCATCCGGCCTTTGATCAGCAAACTGATGAATGTGGGCGGTAAGAGCAAGGCTCCCATTTACTCCGCCCTCTACTTCTTGCCACTGCTCGTCTTCATTCACGCCCTGGGCTGTGGCCTGATCTATTACTCCTTTCCCTACCTGAGCGTGGCCATTTCCATGGTGGCCAACGCCATTCATTATTCCCTTAAGCTGGACCAAACCCTGAAGGCGCTCGTCTGCTCCTCAGTGTGGGAGCTCAAGAATGTGGTCATTATAAGTGTCCACTGGATGCTGTTGGCTTATGGGATCACCTCCCTCAACTACCACTATGGCTTCCTGTGCCTGGTGCCCTTTCCCACGCTCTTCTACATTCTGACCGTACGCTTTACGGATCCGGGCGAGTTCCGGGAGCTGGAGTCGAGAATTTGATGCGGCGACGTCCAAATGCAGATCTTCCATGCCCGCGGGGGCGCAGCCCGACGATCCACTGTTGTTATCTATGTGTAGTGTGCGCGTCAATTAATTTATTTTCCAACTCAGCTGTTAGTTCTAGTGTTCTCGCGTGTATTTCGTATATATAGTCCTAAGCCACTCATCGTTCTTTTCGTTTTTAATTACATTTCACATTAATTATACACATATAGTAATATTAAAACCAAATAAAATATATATAACCACCCGTATAATTCTTAGAGTCAATGGGCGAGACTTTTGTTCTTTTTGAACCACTTGTTTGGCCAATGGGTTTTAGCTTAGATCGATCCTCGAGTCTGAAGAACTTTAAAAATTCGTATCAGGCAAACAAACACTATATATGCATCGATGTTTTTAGATTTTTCTAAATCATCGATGTTTTTAGATTTTTCTAAATCATCGATGTTTTTAGATTTTTCTAAATCATCGATGTTTCATTCGACCTTCTATGTTTCTGGGCCGTTACTATCGAAAGAAGAAAATGAAAATTATTTTTTGAACTTTGTTATTATATTAAGGAATGACTGAACGAATTTTGGTCTCTAAAGATGCACTTACCATTGATTTGCTGGGCACTGCTAATGCCACTTTGTGTCAGAGGAGCTCGAGATTTTACTGCCAGGTGGAAGTACCCCACGATCCCTTTAGTAATTCCCATAATATAAAATAAATGTAAAAATATTATTTAAATTTTTTAAAACATCGATATAAACATCGAAAATATCGATGTCTGTGCAGCTCTAGAAAATAGCTATAATTCCTGCCAACCGCCAGATCTACCGGGCAAATAGCTAACTTACCAACGCAGGTTCCGAAAGCCAAACTAGTTCCGGAGCGGATCTACTTCAATCAACGACAAAGTAGGAAATAATTTCCACTCTTGATAAATATTAGATTTTTGCACTTTTTAATCGACCACGGAACCTTTTCATCCGCGTCTTCGCAGTTTTTACATCATCCCAACCGCAACAACCTTGCCCAGTGCGTGCCTTCGATACAGTGCTTAACATTACGTAGGGGCCAAGAGCGACGGAAAAAAGAAGGAAATATCTAAAAATATTTTTAATCGCCGTGAAAGTGCCAGCAGCAGATTTATTTTCGCAAATACAGCGCTTGGAGCAACTAATTGACTGCAAAGATGGTTCTCAAAGTTTATGTCAGCGGAATGTCCGGCAATAAGGAGGTAAGTTTGTGGGCGTGGCGGGGGCTCCTGCATATAAGCGAGAACTGTCATTTTAATGGAATGTTTGGACCTGTTATTGCCAGCAAACATAGACCTGGGGAGCAAATCGACAAAGGGGCGGAAGAATGGTGACGAATGCATTGCGAATTCTATTTCTTTTGCTGCGCTTGTAGGTACGAGTGAGTGTGCGTGCGATGATGATGGCATATATGTTTGTATGTACAGTCGAATAAAAACAGAAAGAAAAAAACAGAGCCCCAACAGCAAGTGGGTATTGCTTGATTGTGTGCGTTTTGATGTGTTTTGGTGGTGGCAAGAAGCAGCACAAACATATTTTTCAATGCCCATATAAAGCATATTCTAGGAAGAGAGAGAATCCATTGATCGCAATCTTGATGCGTGGGCGAGTGTGCGTGAGTTAAAGGAGTGATTCACCTCTCTCTGTTTTCCACCATTCTCTTTCGCCTCGCCTCCTTTGTCCAATTCGCAATGTCGCCAACAAGAACAATAACATAACGGTCATTGTACGGGGTCACAATAGCGAAAGCAACAACAAAGCTTTTGTCGGCCAACAGCTTTTGTTGTTGTTATATAGCATATACATACATACTTCTAAAAAGAGTATGCATAAAATCAAGGAAAGCTACAATTCATTATCAGAAAGTTAATTACTCGCGAGTGCAACAAACCATTCCAATTAGGTTTCTTTATCATTCTCCCCCGTTATCTAAGCTTGTATGATTCCATGTGTGGGTGTGATTTTATTGCGACTCTGCTTGTATGGGTTTTGGGCTTGCCGGCAACATTTCATTACCGATAAGTCATCGCTGTAAATAACAGGATTGTTAAAAACAGTGTAACACTGATAGAATTTATATACAAGTTAAAATGTTTAACTTAAAAATGGTTTATATTTTAATTATAAACTAAAAATTTTTGGGAATATGATTTACAAACGCCTGTATGCAACTACTTGGAAAAACAAAATAAACTTATGTGATTTTTATACGCTGGCAAGATATTTTAATTGTAGTCGGAAGTTTGCAACGCAAAGAAGGAGACCCTATATAGTATATACATATATTCTTAATCAGCATCAATAGCCGAGTCAATCTAGCCATGTCCGTCTGCCAGTCTATATCATATAGCTGCCATAGGAAGAAGAGGAAACATAGCTGTTTTTAAATATACATGTACTTTTTTGAGATTTGTCCATTTTTGACTTCAGAATTTCAGTTTTAGTTTTATAAAAATTGGACGACTATATCATCTATTTAGCATAGCAGATATAGAGAAAAATGTAAAGCTGTAAATGTAGAACTGCAACAGTATACTTGTAAAAATAAGAATATATAATATCTAATTGAAAACTTAAGGGGCAAGAGTATAAAAACTTTGGCGGGTCGAAGTTAGCTTCCTATCTTGTCTTATTTGTTTTTAAATTTTAGTTTAAGACAAAATTTTATTAAAAGCATCTAACTAAGGGAGGTCTTTCGGGGCTTGAAAAGAAATATGTTATTATTTCTCTTCGATATTAATTACTGGAATCGAGAAACCCGATTTTCTCTTACGACTAATTTTACCCTTACTGGACATTAAACAAATGGGTTTCAAGATCAACAAAAAAAACACATTAACTCTTTTTGTTTCCAGGTGAAGAAGCGACAACAGCGCGTGCTGATGATCCTGGACAGCAAGAACATCCAGTATGACACCGTCGACATCACGGAGCCCGGCAAGGAGTCCGAAAAGGAGCTAATGCAAAACAAATCTACTAGCAACGGAGGCACCGTGAGCGATCCGGATCCCCGCCATCCCCTGCCGCCGCAGCTTTTCAACGATGAGGAGTATTGCGGTGACTACGACGCCTTTGACATGGCCAACGAGATCGACACCCTGGAGGTGTTCCTCAAGCTGGCACCCGCCGATACCACGGCTGTCAGTACCGCCCAGATTGAACTGAAGCAAGAAAATGGCGAGGCCAAAAAGGAGGAGGCGGAAGCGGAGGATAAGGCTGCGAAGGACGGCGAGGGCGATGAGGCGGCGGAGAAGGCCGAGGTTTGAGCTTGAGCAATTTTCCTGTATTTTCCGTTAACTGTTACGACGCAACGAACAACAGCAGCATCTTCAACAAGCAGCATCAGCAATATAATTAACAGCCACTTCTTGAAACTAAAGCCGTAAAGTTAACATGAGCAATAACCCGTAATGTTATCTAACAGCACAGACACTACCAACTCTCTATATCTTGTATTTTTATAACCCCTGTTTCCGTTTTCTATTCCTATTGGAATTTGGTAAAAATGAATTTGATCGAACTATTCTCCCGTAGAGTTCAATAATTTCAACGATTTCGTAATCGCAATGTAGGTGCAATGTTCAATTTTAAAGCTCGTTCTAAAATGCAGCACTGGCTTAACTGAGCTTAAATTGTATTTAATCTTCCAAATAACCGAATTTTAGCGTCAGATTAGAAAGCGAAAACAGGTACTCGCGTACTCCATCTAATTATGTTTTATTTTATATACAAATTCACACCACGACTGCGGTTCTTAATCTAAGTTTATGATGGTATTTAAGTGAAATGACAATTTTAATCAAAAATATTTATAATCATTAACTTAGACACATCCTACACACACACCTTTCTATGTACCATTTATACACAACTATACGGACTCGGAATTCACGTCAACACTTAAGCCTAAGTTGAATCGACTTTAATGAGAACTTAGAGAGCTGAAACTTTTTGTGCGGCCGCCGTTATGTTAATGCTAAAACATAAAAAAGCGCTGCCCATGTAATAAAACGAAATATATTTGTATTAACTAAAAAAGAATATAACCAACAGCAAGCTTGTTTTTCTAACACTTTAACACCTAACAGCATACGGCACTTAACATCGCTGCAGAAGAATGGGTTTTGAACAAATTTGACTGTAAGAGATCGCATTTTCATAAAATCATCATAAAAAATTACTTGCATAGAAAATATGTATATACTATCGTCAAATCTGGATTTTCATAAAGACAGAACAAGTCTAAAACAAAATCTTAAAGCTCCCTTTAAGATGATTTCTTGAAAACAGCAAATTTTTTCACCCAATCTTGAATTTTCACTGAGCATTTTTTTTTTTTAATTCTGTATTACTAATGAGTCCCTGATTCTTAAAAAAAAAAGGATGATGATGGCGAGGACAAGGAGAAAAAAGAGGGCGACGATGAAGACGCCGACAAAGATATAGAAGAAAATTCGGAGGAAAAGGTAATAAATTTGCCTTTTCTAGCATGGACCAAACATAATACTTATTTTTAGTGCTTAGAAAGCTAACAAAAGCATGATCTTGCACTGTAAAAGCCCAGTTTAGGTAAAAAACCCCCACTGATAAGATCTTGTATATACAATTTCCACTTCCCTTCCCAAAAAAAACCCACATTCGCACGAACCACAATCCAATCACAAACCACAAAAAGACTGAAACCGCTGCAGATGAAGAATCCGACGATAAGGAAAAGAAAGATGAGGCGACAGGTAAACATTGGAGAAAGTCCTTAATCGTTATTATTGTACTCATAGTAATGAAAAACAAAAGAACTACAGAAAAGAGTCTACATTTTCATTTTATTAATTTTTTTTTTTTTCAAAAAGAAGTATTCCGAAAATGAGGTAATTCTTTATTTTTACATTACTTATTGTGTGAGTACTTTCCTTTAGACACTAACTGTATATTTATACCTTGATGGTGGAACAGAAAAATCCGAAGATGATACCAAAAAAGATGAAACATCTGAAGAAGAACCTTCACAAAAATCGCAAGATAAACACAAAGAAGAAACAGAAGAAAAATCTGAAGCTGAGACCACGGAAAGCTCTAACAAAGCCGAAAACGCAGAAGAGTCTGCCGAAAAGCAGGCTGAGGATAAGGACGAGTCTAGTGGCGATGAGGAAGAAAATGATGAAGAAGCTAAGGAACCAAATAAGGTGGAACAAGATGTTGAGAAGGAAGTCAAAGACGAAGAAGAGTCTAGTGATGATGAAGAAGACGATGATAAAGAAACTAAGAAAACAGAGAAGGTTGAGACAAATGCTGAAAAGAAAGACAAGGAGGCGGAGGAAGAGGACGAAAAAGAGGGGGAAAAGGAAGCAGCGGACGAAACCAGGGAAGCTGAAAAGGAAGTAGAAAGTCCCGAAGGCGATGAAAGCGGAGAAGCTGATGAGGAGGAGAAAAAAACTATCGAGGAAGATACATTACAGAAGCCTGACGACGCACAAGAAGAAGAGACGGATGAACAGGAAGAGAGTAACAAACCAGAGGGTGAAGAAGGAAATGAAAGCAAAGAAGAAGCAGAAGATAAGAAAGTAGAAAACAAAGAAGAGGACGAAAAAAGTACCGTGGAGGAGAAATCCGAAAATCCTGAAACCCAAGAGGAAGAAACGGACGACAAGGATGAGAAAAGTAAAGAGGAAGACAGCGATGAAGAAAGCGATGAGGAAGAGGAATAACCATAAGCTGTCAGAAATGAAGAAAAGAACATCGACTGTCACACACACACATACACTGACATCCGCATCTCAAACACATACACATATAAAACTGCACCTTTAGCCAAATAATACCGAAATGTTCTGTAAATAGAAACAACCCACTAATAACGAACCTGGTGACGGTAAACGAACACCAGAGGTGTAAGTTTTAATCTTTTATATTTAATTTCATTCTCTTCAAAATTTCTCCGCAACAACAACGTTGAAACACAGAAGTTAACAGCGACGCCTATATCCGCATCAGCGAGCGGGGAGCGGCATCAGACATCAGACTCCCAATCGGAACTTTTATTGGACAGCGAGCGAGCCGCGGCTGCGCAGTAATTTTAATTTTCGAATTTTCTACTTGGGCTGTTTGCTGCTTTAATTTTTTTTTTAATTTTAAAATCATTAACCATTTTTGAACTGAAACATACTAGACAATTATGATCTGCCCTTGCAAATACCAACAATTTTTAAATACACTTAAAATTCGAAAATGGTATTAAAAATTAAAATAAACAGTAAACGCAAATAAAATTGATTAGAAACATTTTAAAATTTACTTGTTTACTATTCGTGAAAGTAATATATTTTTTTTAATAATTGTATACCATAAAATATAATCAATTTAAATTATCCATCTATTTAGAATTTTAATAAATTAAAATCAGCAATCTGCCCAAATGGAAAATATTTCAGTTAATTACTACACATAAAAATATAAATATCAATAGACTTTTTGTATTTACGTGTCTCACTTTTAGTTCTTGTATCCAAATAATTAAATATACAGTACATTATAATTATAATTAGTACAGTACACGGTAAAATGAAGTTGTTTATAGTTATTCTTTACGTTCTAGTTCGGGATCGTCGTTTCCATTACAAAACTAGTAAAAATGCAAAGGAGGATCACCTCCTCCGCCACGCAAAACTCATTTACTAAAAAGGGAAAACAAAGAGGCTTCTTTCGTCCCAGAGAAAAAAAAGAAAGAGAGAGATAGGAGGAGGTCGAGGTCGTTTGGGGTGTGGCGGCGGAACGTCGCGTCCTTCCATCCTTCCGCCCGTCTCTGTCTATTCCATCTAGTCGCTGCCCTCCTCGTCGGACGTGTCTGTGGTGTAGTCGCTCAGGTTCTCCTGTTGGTCATTGTGCTCTGGCTCCGATTCGCTCAGGTCCCACTGGGGATGATCTGTCGGTGGTGCGGGCGCTTTTTGCACGTCGAGCTTCAGCTCCTGCTGCTGGTCCATGCCCAGATAGGAATCTGGAAACATACAATTGTTTAAAGATTTAAAATAAAATTCGAAAACCTTAGTTCTTAATTCAAATTCTTGGAAAATTAAAGAGCAACTCACCCGATCTTAGGCACACGGTAAACGTGTAGACGCCGGGCCAGCGTGGTGCGGTGAACTTCAGCTGGATCTCCTCCTTTTCGACCAGATTGGTCACGTGATAGGGAGCCGTGAGCAGGGTGCGCGACTTGCGGTCGCAGATGTAAGTCCACCAGTACTCCTGCTTCTCCTCGGGAAAGTAGGGACAGTGGACGGTGTGCGACAGCCGAGACTTGCCCTCAAGTCGTTCCCTCTTGTTCAGCTTTGCTTGCAGCCTCTCCCACTCTTCGTCATCGTCGTCGTCCAACGACGAATGATTCTTATTGGCCTTCTCGTCGTCCTCGCTGCCGCTGCCGCCGGCCACTGATTCCACATCGCTGCCGTCGCCATTGCCCATTTCGGATTCTGCATCAGAGTTGCCTGTTTGATCCTCAGAAGCGGTTGCATTGGCTGTCGCCGTTGATGAGGCTTTGGGCGGAGCCTTCTTTTGGTTGTTTTTCTGGTTTTGAGCGGGCTTTTTGCCACCCTTGCCCTTTCCGCCCTTGCGCGGCTTGGCCCAGGCGGATGCCTTCTTTGCCGGCACAGCGGCGGCGGCGGCTTCGTCATCCTCTGCGGCAGCCTCCTCATTGGCCTCGTCGTTGATGCCCTGCTTCTCGGGCGCCTTGGTGTCCCCGAATAGCGATCTCATGTCCTTGCGCTCCAGCGTAACAGTGACCGTGACAATTGCGCCGGCGGTGACCACATTCGTGTTCTCATCGTCGATCACCTCGCAGCGGATGGAAAAGTCAATTAGCGGCATCTTGCCCAGCACTTTCATCGTGTTCTCGTACTCAAAGTCGGAGAGGTTCTTTAGCAACACGCGGCTCTCTTCGGGCTTCAGCTGGGCGAACTGCTGCAGGTTCTTTACGTGCCGCTTCTTGTTCATGAAGTACAGGTGGTCCTCGGTGAGGTGGGGCAGCTGCAGCAGCGGCGACTTGAACTCCCAGAGGCCCTGAATAATCATCGGCGACATCTTCATGCAATTCTCAATCGTCTCGATGCTGGGCAGACGAGGCACACGCCTAGCGTAGGCCATCATTACGAGCTGGTGAACGCAGGAGACCATCTCTTGAACCAGATACGGGCACTTCTTTACAACAAACTGGCGGTCACGTTCCAGGGTTTCCGGATTGAGGGGCATTCGACCTAGATGGGCGTGCAGGATGGCGCGGGCCTTGATGGAGTACATCCGGCACAACGGGTGCTCCTTGCACTTCTCGTTCAAGTTCGGTAGCTGTCGGATGAGCTGTTCACAATAAGGGTATTGTTAGTATTTGTATGATTCGAATTGATCAGTCTGCACTTACAGCTGGCACCTCGTCGTTATCCGACTGCCGCTCCTGCACTTGCGAATTGTGCCGCTTGTCGAACTCCAAACTGGCCGCCAGCACCATCAGGGCCCGCTTGAGCAGCATGTGCGGCGTCTTGTGGATAAAGTAGAAGTACATTTGCGTGGTGTCGAGCAGCACCTTGTCGCCGCTGAAGCGAATGGAGCGGTACCACCACACGCCCACCGCCGAGGGCATGGCCACCATAAACACCAGACCGTACAGGCCCAGCACCCAAACGCTGTTCTCCTTCTCGACGATCCACGAGGGCAGAGCGATGCCGAAGGACATGGCACCCGGTCCGTCCGGGTTGCCATACTTTTCATAGTTCTCCTTTGCCACGTCATCGGTTAACGCCTGGTAGGCCTTGCTCAGCATCATGAATGACTTCTCGTCACCCGTCTCCTTGTCCGGATGCAGAACCTTGGACAACCGATAGTAGGCCTTCTTGATCTCCGCCTGCGATGAGGTCGGAGGCACTCCCAATATCTCGAAGGGATCGAAGCTGGCCATCTCGTAATCGAACTGCGAGACGCGGTATGTGAGAAAGAGCAACAGGGCCCAGCCCAGCACAATGGTCAGCTTGATGCTCCATGACTTGAGTGCCCTGTAGGGCTCGGCATTGGCCAGGATGGCTTTCTTCTTTAGACAGTCGGCGCATTGGCATTCATCCTTTAGCTTGCTGGGATCTGCAGGAAAGAGTGAAAAGAAGCGTAATTGTTATCAGAAGTTAAACAAAAAAATACTAAAGCTCAAAACTTTTGAGCACTGATTAATACAGCATACACAAATCCTGGTCATCTGACTGATCGGTATCGCTGCATTAGGAAAAATCACAAAGATCTATAAACTTTTCTTTTACGAAGATCAGAAGAAATTACGAGTTGTGTCTTGGAGTCACCGACTTGGCGACGCATGAACGCGCCCAGTGGCTGTTGTCCCAAATGGGAAGAGAGCTTCGCTCAATTCGTGTTTTGCGGTAATCACAGCTTTCACCAATACGCAGAAGACGCCGAGCGAGCTGACGTTGTTAGAATAACTTATTGGAACGTGTCCATTTGAAGTAAGGAAATGAGAGAGTGAGAGCTGCGAACACATGTAAGCTGCAGGTGGAGAGCGGAGGAAGAGAGAGCGAGCGATTAAAATCGGCTGGGCAGCGGCACTAACCTTCTTTCTTTTTACGTGGCCAATAGTAAATCGTTGTGGGTATCAGTATAAGCGCCAAGAACGATAACACGAAGTAGTAGAACGTTCCGCCGCTCTCGTCGTACTGGAACTTTTGACCCGCCATCGATGTGCCCTCCTCCTATCTATATCTATATATATACGCCTCGTCTGGCCTGCCTTTTCCTTGCACTTTTCCTCCGGCAGCTCCAGCTGATGCTCTGGGCTTGCTGACGGGGTGGAGGCGGGGTTCTGCAGCGCCTTCTGCGAATTCCCGATCAATTGATGGCGCGACGCTGGCTAAGCGGGCGCTGAGGTGGGCGGGAGCTGTTGCTGCTGCGAAAATGCACGATTTGTACGCCGCGAATTTAACTTTGTTTTTACCGACGCATGACACGTAGTAGGGATGCAAAAACATCGATGTCACTATCGATAGTATCGATGTTTTTTTGAAAACATAGATGATTTTGCATCTCTAGTGCCTATCGGCCGGTTTTTTTTTATCGATTGTGTAGGAAAAGCATATGCACAGCAGTGATGCAAAGTTGTCCTTTTTCCAGCTCCCAAACCATTCCGGGTCAAGAACTTATTCCCTGGAAGGTGGAGCTCCTCTCTTCGGAACCGGGTGGCATCCCTGATCCGGTAGATCTTTGGCTGCAACGGGTATATTGCCTTTCATTCTCAGAAACACTTAAAATTAGCCTTGATTTTCTTGAGAAGATTTAGATTCAGCGTGGGGCTGAAGTCACAGGCAAACAATCGAAAAACAAAAAGAGAATTAAGTTTTGTTCGGCGTACCATTAACGACTGTCGTTTTGTTTTTGTTTCCAATAGTTCAATGTGCAATAGTTAAAAAAACCACTGCTACCAATCAAGTGCTTTTATATCTCTTAAAATTTTTAAGCCACTTGTATTTTTCATAGGGTGTTATATAACTTCTAGATGGGGGAAAATATACCTGCTAAAATACCAGCATTTCCTCTCCATCTTCACGAGGCGTTTTGGTATTTTCAGATGATCGCGGGCGCCTGAGAAGTGTGCGCCGATAAATTGGTGCTTTCCCCGAAAAAGTGACCAATAGCAGTCTAACTGCGGCGAAGACAGGTCTAATTTCACCATATCCGACATGGCAGAGGCTCAAGGCATCGGCCCGGTAACCCGGACCGCCCGCGAAGTGCAGCAAAACTTTGCCGAATCCCTCGGCTTTGCGGAGGAGATCATCTGGGATCTGTAAGTACTGCGCAGTTGGCTATACGACAATAAAAAATTCTATTTTTGGATGATCTCATCAGGCTATCCCAAGAGCAATCGGGAATACTGAAAAACAAGCTCAAGGAGCTGATCCGCGATCCCAAGCCGCCCGGCGGAGGCTCGCTGGCCGACGAGAATAAACACCTAAAGATCATCGCCGAAAATAAGATAGCGCGCGAAATCATCTTCAATGCCGTGTGGGAGCAGCGTAAGCCGGGGGGATCGGGATTCTCGTCAGACAGTTGCGTAACCACCAAACGCCCTTTGTTTCGCTGCAGGAAAATACACCAATCGGCAGTCGCTGACGTCAATCATCTACGTGATGGTGGTCGACGGCATTGACGATGTGAATCGCGCCGAGGACAGCGTGAAGTTCTCCTGCCATCCGGTTTTCCGTTGCCGCCGCTGTCTCCGTGAGTTCTTCAATCTCAGTAATCTGGTCTTTATCTTGAAACTTGGGACAATTGGCAATTGGCTCTGTTACCTTACTTCCTAAAGCGTTCTTTCCTCTTTCCCTGCAGATAGCAGCACTGGCACTAGCAGCGATAGCTCCAATTGCTGCAACGTATTCGTGGATGACAACGGACGCGTCTACCAGAACTGGGAACAATATGTGGCCAGCAATGAGCTGCCCGCCGGTGTAATGGTGGCCCCTGAGCGGGGAATTTACCGCGTTGTCAGGGATCAGGTGCGCCTGGACAAGTATGTAACGCCGGCGGGCAGCACCAACAGAAAGGTGCTTGGGTATCTAGACACGGGATCAGCTGTGGGAGGCTTTGCCGCAGCCTGCATCCCAATCGCAGGACTTCTCACGCTCCCCGTGTCTGCTCCGGCGATGGCTATAGCAGGAGTCATGGGCCTAGCCTGTGCCGGCTACGCCACGGCCCGTTCGGGCGCCAGGTTGGTGGATCGCAGCCAGCATGAGCAGTCGATCAGTGTGGCAGACCGCGAGGCGCGCGGCCATTGGCTGGGCGTGGTCGCAGGTGGTGTTGGGGTGGCAGCAGCAGGCGCCACCCAAGCCGTGTCGGCGGCTACGAACGCCGGGCGGGAGGTGGGGGCGGTAAGTGATTATCCTTGTCTAAGGAAGTATATAAAGTATATTTTCTTAAACAAAATTTCAGATTGCCCAAATGACGGTGAACGGCATGAACATATCCTCGATCGTCATCTCGGGCACTGGAGTGGCCAACGGAGTGCTGGACTTGATACTGGTAAGCCAAGCAGATAATTTTGTTATCGACCTGCAATCTAATCAATTTGCCCTGCAGAAAATGCAAGATGGCGATGACATCAGCGCCATGGACGTGCTGCAGTTGTCCGCTTCGTTGGTGCTATTCACACACAGCGTCTACAATTTCAAGCTGGCCTCGACCATTATCAACGAGACGGCCAACAGGAATATAGCGGGCTATCGGGACACACTCAGCAATCGCCAGAGGTAAGATCTCCTGGTGCTTAGAACGGAATATTAATCTGAGCCATCTCCGATCTGTGTCCTTGCAGGCGCGCCTTTGACAAGGCCTCCAAGGAAACTGTCCGACTGCGAGGCAACACGCGCGGCAAGCTGGACATCATTCGCAACGTGAACGAGGTGCCCTCGAGGCAGCAGTTTAATGACCTCTACAAGATCAATAAGAACATGAACCAGGAGGGCGTGCGTTACGCATTCGCACCAGAAGGAAATGGCTTCGTGCTTAACGGTGAGGTGCAGACGTCGGCGTCGGATTTGCGAGCGAGTGTACAGCACAACCAGGGCCCAAATATACTGGGCCAGGTGTCTCAGCCGATCCCCTCAAGTCATGCCGGCTCAGGCAATTTGCAGCTTGATGGCCTAAATCAGGTTTCCCGCCTGATTGGACCCCTGCCGACGGCCACTCCGCGCCCGGAGCCGGCCACCTATGCAGTCGGCGTGTTCGTCTTGGAGCTCAGCTCCGTGATGGTGGGCGGCGTGGTGTTTGTGCTGGAGAAATACGGACGCATCATCTTCGAGCACGTGGTCAACGCCGAGAGCTTCGAGAACCTGATTAGCAGCATGGCCGACAATCTGGAGCCAGAAGTTTTCGACCTAATTATGAAGCTGACAAGGACCTTTATGGACACCATGCTGGACGAATTGACCACAGTGTTGAAGTTCTATATTTCAACTGAATCAGTACTGTTCCGCATTTTGGACCAGGTGATGAGAAAATTCCGCCATATGACCTGCAAGGAGTTGGAGATCCGCACCGGGGACATCTTCATGGCTGTGAAGCGTTACTTTATGTCCCTTAACCCGAACGCGTATCTTGGTCTCCTCGAGAAGTGCAAGGTCTGTGAGGGCTACTTCACGATTACGCCGTTGTAGATTTCCAATCAATGGATAAGAGCGAGAGTGATAATTGGTGCCTTATCTTAATAACAAAAAACATATTTAAAATACTGACATTTTTGTAAAAAGCATTTGTGGATTTAATCAAATCTAGCTAAGAACTTTTCTCAAAATATGAGTGAGCACAAACTTGACATTAACACAAATAAAATATTTGTTTTAAATAATAATAAACTGCAAGACATTTAAGTGTGTATCATTTCCAGTATGTAAATAAGAAAATGGGAGTCAGTTGGGTTAAGAAACACGACAATCCTCATCAATCTCATTCAACAATCATGCCAAAAACTCTCTCTTGCGCTCTAATTTTCCCTATCTATCTGCAAAGTCTCATTCAGATAGCTCTAAAAGTGACAGACAAGTTTGCGGAACGCATATGGCTAGATTGACTCGGCTAGTGTTGATATACATACATATGAACATTGTACAATAGTTCCTCTAGTGCGTTGCAAACTTCTGTCTTCAAATGTAATGCCCTGCAAGGTTAAAAAATAAACAAATTGTTTAAAATCAAGTTTAAAAAAAAAAATCATCTAGTGTTTTCAATAAGCGTTGCTGTCCTTACAAATTCCTTATATAATTTTAACTAAAATTATGTAATTTTCAACGTAAGGAAGTCATTTTAGGCCCCTATAAAGTATAAATGTATATTATTCATCAGCATCAGCAGCCGAGTCAATCTAGCCTGTCCGTCTGCCCGTTTATACGCAAACTAGTTTCTCAGTTTTGATAGATAGTCTAAAAACTATGCAGATAGTCTTCTGAATTTTCTTACTACATATACATACATATGTACATACATGTGTCGGAACAATCAAAAATTGTTTTACAAAATTATAGTTTTTGCTGTTTTGGAAGATATTTAAAATATCATATTTTCATATACTATGAGATATGGCAGTTTTTGTTAGTTTAGAATTTCGATTTTATGAACGATACAAAAATTAAAATATATTCCTAAAAATCTGCTTTGAAATAGGTCAATTTCTCACATATTTAATGAAAATATATACATTTTTAATTACTTACTTTAAGGCGCCGAGAAAACCGATTTGGTTTTGCGTCAAGTTTATCTGGCAGTTCAATAAGAACTAGGCAATGGCATTAACATCCCTCAAATAATAACAATTTGTTTAAATTGACAATTCATAAATAAAATAAACGATAAGCTTCGCATTTTTGTTTACTCGCCTTTCGTACTCTCGTTTACAATAATTAAAATAATAATAAAACTTAAGAATAATTAGTTTCCTCTTGCGTGGCTGCTGAAAATTCGTTTCGTTCATCCGGATCACTTGGAAGCTGCAACAAGTTGAGTGCGTGTTTTGTTTGCATTTTGTTTTTTGCTTTTTGCTTTCTTTATGTTTATTTCACGAAGACAACACAGACATATTAAGATCCAAAATATATATATATATGTATGTATTTATATATATACTATATATATACGCATGTTATTTAGGTTTGTGTTTGTTTTGTAGTGGTTTTGTAGCTTGTTTGCTGGGTTCTTAGCCAGAGATGGAGATTGATGCGTGTGAGTGTGTGGTGTGTAGTGTGGTGTTCCTTGTTTGTGTTCTGTGTGTGACGTCATTCGAGGGTGGAAAGAAGGTAGGACGCCGCGATGGCCTTCCGACTTAGACGCGCGACAACTGCTGCAGCAGATTGCACGGCCAGAACGCCTCAATGCGCTCCTTGAGCAACTGAAACGGATACGAGATCCAGGTAAGTACGGTCTGCGCCAAGTGGCCCATCGGCTCCGGATACTGGTGGGTGGCCAGGGCCAGCAGGGCGGTGATGGAGCACAGTCCCGCCGTGAACAGGATGAAGAAGGGCAGCTCCTTCTTCGGATATACGGATACCTCGTGGAAGGCCGGCAGCAGCTCGCGGTCAGCGCACTCGGTGCACGTGGGATATGGATAGAAGAGGTGGCCGCGCTCCAGCGGATACGGCAGCATGCGAAACGTGCCCTCCCATGTGCAGTGCAGCAGATTGAGTGCACCCTCCACCTGCTTCCAGTGCTTCAGATGGAAGAACGCATAGGCCAGGGCCTCCGAGTCGCCGCGCTTTAGGATGTGCTCGGGCGGCAGAATGAGCCGCTTCGTCTCCAGCAGATACTTGGGCACGTGCGGATTGAACTCAACGGCTCTATGGATCGCTTCCACGGCGCTCATTTCGGCCGGACTGAGGCCACGCTTCGAGGCGATGTCCGGCGAGAACTTGTCGGCCACCGCACGCGCTTTCAGTAGGGCTGCTGTGTAACAGATGGTCGCCGATTTGGGCAGAGAGATGTCGTCATACTTGGCGAGAATGGCGTGGCAATCGGCGTAGGCCTGCATCTCCAGCAGCGTCTCGATCAGGTTCTCGTGAATGTTCAGCACGCTCATGATCGAGGGTATCTCCTTGGTGAGGTCACGGAACATCTTGGCCGCCTCCTTCAGCTTGCCCAGCTTGCGGGCGCACATGGCCAGCCGCCGCTTGATGTAGATCAGCACGTTGGTGTCCCGCCGATGCATCCCGTCGGCAATGGCGCCCTGGTGCTGGGTAGCCTGCGACTTGCGATAGTTAATCTCGGCCACCTTCAGGGCCGTCTTCAATATCTTCTCCGCCTCCATGATGGTCATGGCTTCCTCCTCCGCCAGCAGTATGTAGGCTGGCGCGCACTCGGCGTTTATCTCCAGCGCACTGTGCGCGGACTTGATGCGCTGCATCGGATTGCGCTCGCGCCAGGCCGTCTGCATGATCTCGTACTCCTCCTTGCGGGCGTCACCCTCGCAGGTGAAGAAGGTTTGGTGGTCCTGGGCGCTCAAGTTCATATCGTAGTAGGTTAGCGGCTCCTTACTGGTTGCCCAAAAAAATCTCTGGTACTCGGCCCCGCGGAAGAGGTTCAGCGGATTCCGCCACACCTTGCACTCGGGCATCTGGGTGCCGGTACTGGTTGTGGCTCCACCGCTTCCTCCGGCTGCGGCACCACCGCCTCCTCCTCCTCCGCCGCCGCCTGCGCCGCCGTTGCTGCTACTGCTGGATCCGCTGGAGGAGCTGCTGCCACTGCCATTGCTAGACTCGGACTGCCCGTCGCTGCCATTGATCCAGGGACTGATGTGATTGATGGACACTTGCTCTGCCGGGCACCCGGATTAGACGGAATCAAACGAATAGCTACCAGGGGAGACTCACCTATGAAGGAGGTTCCATATTTGCGGAAGTACCACCACTCGAAGATCAGGATCAGGCCCGAGATCAGGCTGGAGGTACCAGTGAGCGCCACGTAGAACTTGGGCGTCAGCGTGCTGAGAAACATGGACGAGTCCCACATCCTGCCTGCCACCACTGCCCCCGACCAGCGAAGTTCTGTATTCGACGCTGTTTCGCTTCCCTCTCCGTTCTCTGTTGCTTTTTCGTTAGCGTTCGCTTTTGCCGCTCTCCGCTCGGCGGGATTCGGACGCTCTGGCTGCCCTGGGCACTATGCACTAAGCTCGCCTTGCTCGCTCGGACCACCGGACGGGTGGATGATTAATAATCGGTTGCCTTTCCTGGCGCTATCCTTGCGCTTATCCTGACTGCAGATGAGACTTTTTTCCGTCAAGTATTCGTCAGGGGGGGTGAGCGGGGGAGCGTTTTCGGACCGGTGTGACCAGGCGCCATGTGCTTATACCAGCGCTACTCGGTTGCCAAAATTCTTTGGAAAGTTCTTTAAATCGACTCTGGTCACTCTGGGATCTTGTTGTATTTTCAAATTTATTTAATTCTCTTTCTAAATCAAATTATAAACAACCTAGTTCTCACTATAGCAAATAGGGCAATATAATATATCTCATAACATACATACATATATTATCTACGATTAATTAACAGAGAAAATAACCCTGATAAATAGCTACTTTTAGCTATATACTTGTCGCAGGCACCATGAGCATCACTGAATTTATCGAATTCCGATAACTCGAGATGCACTTGCCGAGCGGCCATTTTTTGTGATGGTATTTTGTGATTTTTTAATTTAATCCGAAACGAAGCAAGGAAATCACTTTCTTGGAAGGCCAGTTCAACGGAAACCCATCATGGCAGAGGTGACGGATTCCCCAATGACAGCGAAGGAGACTTCCCCGACTGAGGAGGCTCCGCGCGTTGCAGAAAACCTAGAACCAAACACAGCGGCGTTGGTAGCGAAAAGTGCGGGCGACAGTTTGGAAGAGGAGCTGGCGGAACTGAACGGCAAGGACGAGGAGGGCATTGGTCTGGATGAACTGAGCTCACTGGAGCAGGAGATAGCCAAGCTGCACAACATACGGCCCGTTGAATCGGCATCAACTGCAGCGGATGCCGCCAGCGCCTGCAGTGGCGGTCCAGATAATGACTGTCCGGATGCCCGGGCAGTCGGAGAAGACCTGACGGGTAGCTCTCAGCAGCAAGAGGACCGTCACGATTTGTCAGGAAATGGCCAGTCTTCGACATCCCCACTCGAGGAAGTGGATCTGATCGCCCTGCTCAAGGGCACAGACACCAGTCACGAGCAGACGCCGGGCAACGAGAAGTGCGCCTTGGAGAAGGCGCTCTCCGAGCTGGACAGCGTGGAAGTCGACGTCGGCGTCACCATTGAAGGGGAGGGTCAGTACGAGATAATGGAGATCGACGACGTCGACAGCAACGGCGGAGAGTCTACCGCCAGCAAGGCCAGCCCCAAGTCACCTAAGGTCAAGTCAAGCAAGTCTACTTTATCCTCCCCCTCTGCTGCCTTTCACAAGCCGAAACTCTCTGCGGAAGAGATCAGAGCCGTGGCCCTAGAGCAGATGGCTGGCCTTAAGAGTGCAAAGTCGCGCCGAAAGGAACAGACGCCTGTGAGTGTCGTGGTGAAGCCCAAGGACATTGTCAGTTCGCTGAACGAGGATTGGGACGATTACGAGGACTCCGAGGAAGAAACACCTGCAGTTCCGCCCGCTGCAACCAAATTGGTTGTGGCTCACAAGCCGCCGCAGGTGCCTGCAAAGAAGCTTCCATCACCCTGCAAACCCGCCCCGACTTCTACTTCGCCAGGTTTTAGCAATAAGATCAGCGGCGTCAAAGTAATGCTAAAAACGGTGACCCAAAAACAAATCGAAGCCACAACGGCGAAGGAGAAACCAAAGCCCTCAGTTACAGCATTACCGGCCGCCAAAGTGAGCGCGGAGCCAGTCACCGCAGGTATATAAATAAATAATCCTTTCCTATTTAGTATTTTCCCTAATAAAGCCCAAATTTATTGCTTTAACAGGCTGCAAGCGTGTGATCAAGCGGAAGATAATCTGGGACCCGGATGCCCCCGAGACGCAAAAATCATTTGCCCAGTATGCCAGCAGCTCCAAGGGAGCAGCTACTTCCTCAACAACGGCATTAGCGTCACCTTCAGCAGCATCAACACCACCATCATCTACATCCAAGACAGCCAAGCCGTCGGTCAAGAATGTTTTAACAATTCAACCGTCAGTAGCAGCAGCACCATCACCACTATCTCCTTCTAAGGCAACCAAGAATGTGAAGAAGGACGCGGCCATTAAGAAGCCGCGTGCAGCCACACCCACCGTTGGGGCAACAAAGGCTTCCACACCGGTTGGGGCAGCGGAGAGAGGTCCTTCGCCCATTAAACGGCGTTCGCAGACCCCGAATTCTGGACTGGCCAACGGAGGTCCCCAGAAGAAGAAAAAGGTGACTGAAATCGATCGCCTGATGGGCGATGAGGGCGCCGCCAATATGATACATGCGGTCGAGCACGAGCAGCGCGAGATGAGCGGTGGGGAGATATCTAATAAGCCGCTGATGCGAAAACGAGCCATGACCATTACGGGAAGGGTAAGTGTGCTGTGCTGCCTCTCTATTCCAGAACAAGCCAATGAAACGTATGTATATTCTTGTCCCCAGAACCAGACATCTCGCGCCTCAGCGGAGCCACCGATTGCGACGCCGAAGAAGGAGACTGCTTCTCACAGTACCCCGAAATCCGCCAAGCGAACCTCAACTGCGGCTAATGCAATTTTCGCCAAGACAACACCCAAGACACCTACTGCCAAGCCGCGTGATTCGGACTCTTGGGACTACGTGTACAAGCAGCGTGCCAGCGAGGAGTCCATGATTATGCGCCGGCGCTCCAACAGCTCCTTCTCGAGCAACACCTCGGTTAGCCGCCACTCGCTGGACAACAAGCCCGGAGCAGGCGCATTATCGGATGATGCGGTCGAGGCGTCTGAGGGCTCTGATCCTTCCTTCAAGTTCCTGAAGCCGGTGGACAAGGCAAACCAAAGAGGCGTCGAAGCGTCGCCCGCGTGTTCTACTTCGCACACACTGGCCAACGATATGAAGGCCGTTAACAGTGGCCATTCCAAGCCAGCAGCCGCCGAGCTGGTGGTCCTGCACAAGGTGGATAAGGTGGCCCATTTGAAGATCCATACGCACCGCGGCAAAACGGGGCAGACATATAGCAGCCAGCTGCTACAGAAGCTGACCGAGACGCTGAGCAGTGTGGCCCGCAGCAGCGATTTCAACACAGTTCTCCTTACCGTTCAGGGCCAGCAGTTCTGTCAGGGCATCGAGTGTCAGGAGTTGGTGCAGGGATCGGCGGAGAAACGCAGGAACAGTGCCAGTCAGCTGAACCAAGCACTCAAGTGAGTCAAAATTTCGATTTTATAAACATTTGATTTTATGTTTGATATTTTATATCATAGAACGTATCTCCGCACTCTGGCCACATTCCCCAAGCCATTGGTGGCGGGCATTGTTGGTAACCTCACCAATTTGGGCGTGATGCAACTCCCACTTGTCGACTATGTGGTGGCCGCCGAGGATTGTTCCTTCGAGACCAACTATGCCAAATTGGGTCAGCTGCCCGAGGGCTATGCTCTTTGGCATGGACACGAAAAAGTGACCAGTCAAGTGGTAAGCAGTGATTTTTGTGCATTTATTTTTGTTTTAAGTCTCTGAAGATTCCCTATAACTTATAGACCTTAAAATATTTTTAATACAAAATTATGACAGAAAAGATTAAATGTTGTGTTAAGCTATTTATGCACCATACGCACCAAATGTATATGTTTATAAAATATGTGTGTATTTCCTGTTTCCCCGCAGCATTCGCATTTGCTATTGTTAGGAGAAAGACTGCTTGCATCGGATGTCCTGGGGCCTAATAGTTTTGTTGACAAGACCTGCAAGGCCCGCAGCGTTGTCGAGGAAGCCCTGACCATAGCCAAACATATATCCACGACTTCGGCGGAGGTAAGAGCCCCATTTTCCCCGCTTAAAACTCTTAAATCATTTAAATTTCTATTCCTTGGCAGACATATCGCTCGCTGAAAAAGATAAACCATTTGGTCATCAATGCTGCAAAGTTTCCTCGCTTGGACGAAGAGTTTAAAGTCATAGCCGAGCAATGGACGTCGTCCAACTGCTTGGCGAGCATGAAACGCTACCTTAGCGCCGTTGACTTTTAGAACCCTAGGAATTATTGTTAGATACCATACACGCGAAATGGTAGATAAATTCAATTACAAACAAAATTTGAAAAATTGCAAACAACATTTATATAGGTAGTTATATTCGATCGCATCCCTCCCCTATGTTGTATTTTTTTTTTATGAACAATTTAAAAGAGAACCAACTAGAATCTGATTCTTTTCGGATGTAAATACATTTAGGAAGGTCAAAACAAGCGTTTGTCGGGAATTCACGTGTAAACCTCTGATGTCTGCAGTACAAAGCAATTGGTATCCTGATATTCAAACCCTAAACAAAATTACGATAACGCCTGGTAGGATTTTTAACAAAAATCAGAACGAAATTTGTATAAAAAAAAAGAATTAAATGATCCATTCGGAGCATATTATTTTTAGTTTGTATTCAGTTAATGCAATACTTTAATGCAATATCATTTTTGAAATAAAGAAAAAAACATTGTAAAAATGACAAAACACTGAGAAAAACATATTGTTGTTTACTGATTTATTACTTTATGGGAGTGGCTAGAAAAGGTTCTATTAATGTACAATGTAATGCATGCATCTAGGATTAAACTACTACTCGTGTCCGACAGCTCGTTTCCGGCTGGCTAAATGCTCGTTCCATGTGCTGATACCGCCTAGTTCCGCCTCCCGTCCTCGTAGTAGGCTGGCAGTTCCGCCTGGAGGCGCAGCAGTCGCACGTAGGTCAGCAGTTTAAACTCGTTCCGAGGCTGCTCGTCATCGGTATGCACAAAGGTGGACGTGTAAGTGACAAGCTCCTGGGATCCGTCCTGATCCAGATCGGCGATCAGCATCGAGTGATCCTGGTTGTTCAGATCCGGTTGGCAGACCAACTCGTTGCGATCGTGGCGGCAGAACTGGATGATATCGCTCTGGGAGGTGTTCTCAATGTGAGTGTCTGCGCCCACAAACAGCACCAGAATCACCGTCTCCGTGATCTTCTGCATCTTGTAGCCGGCGCTGGAGGAGAGGCCACTTGTCTTTGTTTGGTTCTTGGAGGGCACTCCGAACGTTTCCCTCTTCTGTATCAAATGCTCGAAGACATCGAACTCCTCGTGGTGCGGTGGGAACTCGTGCTCCTGCTTTTGGCTGCCTCTTTTCACCCGCTGAAGCTGCTGCTGTTGCTTCCTCTTTGCCTGCTCCTTCTCCTTGTCCTTGATGGCATTCATATTCTTGGTGTGATTGTTGCTGCCACTCTTCTGAACATTGTTGGTGCTGCTCGTGGAGCTCTGCTTGACTGGCTTAAGCGGACCGTGCCACTTCCAGAACTTCACCACAAAGCCGGACATCTGGCTTTTGGTGTTCTTGAAGTGCCATTGGGCAGGCACCATGCCGTACATTCCGCTCTTGCTGAAGCTCTGCACCACATTGGGTTTGCCATCCCGCACCTCGCTCAGGACAAACGTGACATTGCAGTTCTCCGGACAGCGACCGCGGTTCTCCAGCACAAGCTCCCGTCCGCTGAGGCTGTAGATGTTACGCTGCGCATCCATCTCCCGCCGCTGGCCGTGATTCCGGTGCTGTGCTATCTTGGCCGTGGACAGCAGGCGCTGGCTTCCAATCGATTTGTTCGTTATCAAAGTGTAGAGCACATCCAGGCCCTTCGAGCGCAACTGTTCTGTGCCATTGACCCGCTGGCAGGTGAAGCTCACGTTGCCCGCCTCCAGTTTAAGATTGCACAGCTTGTCACAATCATGGCTGGTGAAGCCACTTCCTATGGGAGTTCCCTTCTTGCCCGACAACAGACGCAGTACGTTGCGAGCCTCCAACTGGCTGGAGGATTCGGGTTTTGCTTGGGCCAGCGACTTTGTTCGCTGCTCCAGTGACAAGCTTGTGACTAGCAACAGATCCAGCACCCCGTCGCCATCCAGATCGGGCAGGACAATGGGGAAATCGTATGCATCTACTTTGCGGGCGGAACGCTCCTTAAACCACCATAGCCACTCGCCGGAAAGGGCATTGATGGCCCCCAGTTCACCGGATTCGTCGAGCACCAGACAGTCCGTCTTTCCGTTCCCATCAATGTCAACGAGCGTGCAGTCCAGAGCCACTGGCTCGTCCACCATCTCCACATACCAGGCCACAGCCCCAGAGCTGCCGATGAGACAGATGATGCCATTCCGTCGTTCGTTTCCCGGCCGGGATTCCGGAAAGAAGGCATCGCCGCGGTACATAAAGATCAGGTTGTTCTCCCAGGCGCGGAATCCGCCTACAACGTTAACGCCTCCCATCAGCTCCGCCCGGGTGTAGTTGTTCAGCCAGTTGTGGGTCTTGATGCGGTCCCCCACGGCTGGACAGGAACCAGTGCCGTCTGGATTGCCGCAGGGCACAATCCACACGAAGGACACCACCGCAAAGACACAGAGCAGTAGACTGCCGATGAAGCAACATTTCCTGGCCGGCGACATGGGTGTCCTTTTGGCCGCATCCTCGGCGCCTTGGGTGCCACCCAAAATGGCCACATTGTCCGCATTGGAATCGAATTCGCTGTTGAAGTGGGACAACTCTGATCCCACGCCGCCATTATCGCTGAGCATGACGGATCGGAAAGTGTTCTGCATGTTGGTGGTGTAACTGCTGCCCTCTAGCTGGAATTTCTGTGGGTTTCCCGCCAAGGCAGTCGGGTTCCGGGTCACAATTCGTGTGGCGGTGGGTGCAGCTCGAGTATGTGGCGACTTCAGAGCAAGTGTATTAGGTGGAACCCGGCTCCTCTGAGGCTGCAGCTGCTGATGCTGAAGATTCTGGAGCTGCAGTTGGCGGTGCTTGGTGGCGTTGTGAATCTCGATCTCCTCGTCCGATTCGGAATCGCTCATCGCCTGCCTTAGCGGCGCATAGATGCCCTGGTGGCCAGCGGTGGGCAGCGATTCTGTGTGCAGCATTTTAGCTGCAAGATTCATGGAAAACCCTCGGAAAAATCAATACCCAAAAGCCGAACAAAAAGAAAACGAACTGAGGAAACCGCGAAAAGTCCAAGTTAACCTACCTCCGTTCGATGGCACAAGCGCTCGCTGGCATCTAACATCCACATAGCTACTGCTTTTGATCTTTATTGGATTAGCGAAACATTAATTTCAACGGAAAAACACCCTTCGAAGAAAGCTTTTCCCCCCAATTCAAATAGTTTGTGTCTTCCTTTCCTTTGTTCGCCTATCGTTATGGTGTTTCGCAGCAGTGTTGGTAAACGCGCCTATCGAACTATCGAGATATCGTTAAGTGCGTGACCAGTTGGGACGCCCACCACTACACAGCCAAAGACAACAAAAACAACGCCTGTGGTTTACGTGCGTGAAAATTAGTTAAGTTTTTAGTAAAAAAGGATTTTGGGACGTTGTTCGAGTGATTCCAATATATCCGTATGCTGCGTGGAAAAGCGGGGACAGCGGCGTTCATCAGAAGGACAGACCAAAGCGGTCCAGAAGTGTGAAATTGCGAAAGTGAAAACGGGGCAAGACGGAACCGAAAACGCAACAAAAACGGTGCCAAAAACGCAAAGAAAAGCTGCTAACGAGGGGGAAAACCATCAGGGGATACAGCAGCAGGTCAAGATAAACAAGTGCGTCAAGCATACAGCCGCATTATCTTCACTTTCCACCGATTTGACAGCGAAACGGGGCTGTAAACCAAACGCAACACCCACACACATACTCCACGCAAATTGTGTACATATATTGCGTTGTGCGGCGGCGGGTGAAAAGCTGCTCCCAAGTTGCTCCACCTCCACCTCCACCTCCCACTTCCACAACCACATCCATCTCCGCATCCATCGCACATGTCTTACATGATGGCCAAGACGCTGGAGGAGCAGAGTCTGCGGGAGTGCGAGCACTACATCCAGACGCACGGCATCCAGCGTGTCCTCAAGGACTGCATTGTTCAATTATGCGTCTGCAGGCCCGAGAATCCCGTTCAGTTCCTGCGCCAGTACTTCCAGAAGCTCGAGCGGGTGAGTGTATTGATATATATGTTGTATATATTTGTCTGATACGGTTTCGATTTAGATTATTTTCTGTATGGAATATCCACCTTCATACATACATATATACATATTCTTATTATCTTTGGGTTTCACGGGATGTCGTTAGCGAGGAAGTTTTGTCCTCCTTTCACAAGTTTCTGAAATAATACCACATCCAAGGACCCTTCCCCTGCCTCTATTCCTAAATCTAACGGCTTACAACCGAACTTTCTCGTTTTGAGGCAACTGGTATTAACGTACCTAACCGTGGTAATTCAAGATTTATTCCACAGACTTTCAACGAGCGACCTTGCGATTTGTAATCTAGGGGCCAGAGGAACTATACTGAAAAGGACAGAAGAAGGCATCTCCGAACGATGAGTAGATTTAGCCATGTCCGTTTCTATGAGCTAAACTAAGTGGGTAGGAGTTACTGAAATTTGGGGACAACATTTTTAAAAAACTGCACGGAGATCAAGTTTCTTTTTAAAAGTTGGCCACGCCCCCTTATAGGGGACAGAAGGTATACATATGTATATGTAGAGCAGTATCAACAGCCGAGTTGCCATGTGCATCTGTCCGTCTCTTAGTTTCAGAGCTAGAATCCTTGCAAATAGTCATTTTTCTATTACAGGTAGTAATAGAAATGTTCATAAAATTGTTAGAAAATAAATAATTGGTTTCTTGTTTATCCAAATATATCCGCTACTCCAAAATATTACAATTCCTAATGATTTCTGAATTACGGAATTTTTCTACTACCTCCTTAAAAGGGACTACAAAACGTCATCAATGCTATATTCATTTTTTAATCTACTGATTCCGATTTCGGCGTGCGATGTTAGCTTACTTTCTTGTTTGCAACGCGGTTCCGACCATATAAAGTATAGATATTCTGAATTAGTATCAACAGCCACAACGTTCTCTTCTTCATGTCGTTACCGTCTGCCTGTTTCTACTCAAACTAGTCCCTCAGTTTTGGAACTACCTGAATGAAGCTTTGCATATAGTCTTCTGACTATTCATACAAGTATATATGTCGGAACGGACCAGATCAGTTGACTATATTATAAAGCTGTCATATGAACATTCGTAAAAATTGTAAAAAATCTTTCCGGTTTTCGCTTTTAATTTTTTGAAATTATGATGACTATATCGTACAGCTTCCATAGAAACGATCAGAAAATTAATAAAAACAGTTATAACTTTGCTGTTTTTCAACATATTTTCATAAACTTAGCATAGGATCGATCGGCAGAGAAAAATTTAAAACAGTGAATGACAAACTGTAAATGTAAACCTGCAAAAATAAAAGTATTTAATTATGATTCTAATTGAAAACTGCAACGATATAAAAACTACGGCGTACCGAAGTAAGCTGCCTTTCTTATTTTTACATGATATTTGAATATTGATTTGAGATGAATTTCAAACGACTAAACGATTATAATTGCAAAAGCCAATGCAGAACTGAATTAGCTTGAAGTGGAACTGAAGATCAGTAGGAATAGTTATCACTTCTAGGGTAAGGAATTTGTGCCTTAGTTTGTACACTTTTTTTTTTACTGTTTTGCTTTGAATATTTAAAAAAATTAGTCGATCGATTATTTTAGCTCTAAGATATGTCGCAAAGTTCCTGGCCTTAAAGCCAGATTGCCAAAAGCCAAAATTGCGTCGCTCCATTGTTCTATGCCTTTAAGGCTCCGAAACGAGGATGGCAACCGTGAGGAGATTCATAGGCGTCTTTGAGTTAAGCCTTATGTTTAAGCCTTTCAACAATGCTCAAGAACGAAACAGTCAAATTTGAGATTTTCACTGAATTATTCACAGAATCAACGATTTTGGTATGTCTTAGCTATGACTGAGATGTTAACAGTATATAAGAATGCAACAAACATATGGATGTTACTTAATGTTACACTTGTGGGAACAAATAAGTTTGGAAGTATGTATGTTATCACGAAAGATGTTCACTTATGGGCCTAGACTCATTTGAGTTCATTGGCTGATTTTTCAACCCCTGGGGGAGCACCTAGCGGCATTTGCTTGGTCAAGTTGGCTTGTCTGCCGCTTAAATAAAAATCAATATGACCTGGGGTCTATTTTTAAGCGGAGTGCTAAAAAAAAAGAAAACACCATCGGCAAAAGGCGGATTCGGAAAGTAAAGTTAATGGGTTGACGGGTTTGTTGAATTCCCGCTTTGAGCGGACTTCATCCGTTCCGGGAATTGCACTGTTCGCTGGGAGCTTTAAAGTTTTGCGCCAAGTTTATTTTGGTTGACAGGTTGCAGCCAAAGCTTGCAACGCTGCAATGTAAATAGAACAGCGCACCTGTGGCGATACTTCCACCTGCCCCAAACCCTGCTCGGGCAGTTACAACCACCGCCTCCACCCGTCTCTCTCTTTCTCTCTCCCGACGGACTGTTGCGTGTGTGTGGCAGCAGCAGCAGGACTCTCTGGGGCAAGTTGCCTGTTGAATGCCGGACTCGTTGTCAGTTGGATTAGCATCCTGGCGCCGTGCAGAAGCATCCTGCGGTGGACAGCCATTACCTCCTCGCTTGTTCTTTGTTCGGAGTCCGACCCCGATTCCGATTCCCCGCGCAATGGGCAACCAGTTGAGTGTGAACAGCATCCAGGACGCGGTCATCGATCGCTTCCGCTCGGTGGCTTTGACCACCGACTCCAACGGCGCCATGCGCATCCGCTCCTTCTCGGAGGGCGTCGTCACCACCGCCCACCACCACCAGCAGCACCACCACGACGAGCAGCATCCTCATTGCAGTGGCCGCGGCGGGCGCATTCTGCGCGAGAGCAGCATTGATGGCGGCGTGGCCGTGTTCGATGCCCTGCTCCGGGACGATCACGAACACCGGCTGAGTCTGGACGCAGTGCATCGGATGAGGCATGTCCGCACCTCGTGCACCACGATTCCCGAGGAGGACGCCGTCAGCGATCGCAGCCTGCAGATGCATCTCTCATCGCTCGCCCGGGAACGGGAACGCGAAGTAAGTTCAGAATGCTGTTTTGGTTTTGTAAAAGCTTTCGGCAGAATACATTCCAAGTGTGGGAGTGTGCGCGTGGGAAAAGCTTCCACTTCGGTTGTTTTACGATTCTGTGTTTACTGGATTCGGTTTGTGACTGCCAATGACGATGTCGTTAGCAGTGGCGCCAAAAAAAGCTAGTAACATTTTTGATGTCCTTTTGAATAAAACCGAGTTTGACTTATTAGTTGAATAAGACTTTAAAAAAAAACTAGATACTTAAAATCTGTTAAAAATACACAACAGTTAAAATTTTATGTTTTTAAAGTAAATTCTCAAAGATTTTATATATTATATACACAGATGTGCCAACAAGAGGATGTGATAACAAGGGGTTTAAAAACCCTTTAAAGAAAACCTCAAAGTTTAAGGGATTTTTCTACCACATTCTTCAAAATTGTACTAAAAAAAACAATAATTAGGAATATAATTGAGTTAATTAATGTTGAAAAGCTATCCAAGGGTTAAAATGGATAAAAATGAAAACCCAGGTATTTTTGCCTTTGTATTATTATTATTTCTAGTACTCTTTGTAAGGGTATCCTAATTTACCTGACACAAACTCACAGATACAGACGGCGGCAGCTTTTTGCAAGTTAATGTCGAGTTTGCACTTGAAAGTCGAAGCAACGCCAAGGCAAACGAAATCAAAGCGCTCCCACTTCCCTGGCCTTTCCTTTGCCATTTTCCCTTTTTACTTTGCCGTTTTTACTGCCGCTGCTGGTCCTGCGAAAGCTTTCCCTTCGCTGCGTCATAGCTGCGCCTGTCGGTGTGTGCGAAAAACTTTACTTTTTGGCCATTCCTCTTGAATGTGTGTGTCTGTATAAATGTTTGTGTGTCTGTATCGCTTGCTGTGCGTGATGGTGAAGGTCATCCTGTCGTCGTCGTCGAGATTGCGACTGTGGTTGTGGCACCGAGAGCGAGAGCTGGTTCAGTCACTTTTTGGCCACCGTCAGCGGCCCATCGTCGTCCCTTTTCGCCAATTTACGAGTACCATTCACCTTTTACCATTTACTGCTGCCATTTACCGATGTCTTTGACTCTGGCTGATTGATTGCCACGCGAATTGTGTTGCTCCGATCATCGAATTGTCCACTTTTACGGCCGTGTTAATGCCATTTTTACGGCTGTCATCGCTCCGTCCGGCGCTGTTTACGCCGGCTTCTGATTAACAACCGAATCGTGCCAAAGAAAAAAGAATAGGAAAAACTTCACCGGACTCTCTGTCGTCAGTGTCCGCAAAAATCGCCGAATTGGGCCATAAAATAAACAAACAACAAATAATTGTTGGTGTGAAGGGCGCTAAGCCGGAAATAAAAGGAAAGCAGGCGAAATGGTGGGTAAACTGTCAAGTAATAAATACAGTTAATTGGGTAAACAATTCGGTTAGGAAAGGATTTCTATTAAAAAAGGCTTCCCGTTTTTTTTTTATTTAATTTGTTTGTATTATGTGTGTGTGTTTGTCCAGGTTTAATATTGTTTTTGTGATACTATCTCTATTGCTATTCATTTTTAATAAATTGCTTTTCTAATAAAACCATCTTTTTGGCGTAAGATGTAATGCCAAATTCTTACTTTGCGGTGCTTTATTCAGTGTTAATTGTACATTATAAAAGCACACCTTAAGGGCAGATCCATTTTAATTTTTTCACAAAATATATTAAATATTAATTTGCTAGTATTTCGGAAAAATCCTTAATTTTGTGTATTCACTTCCCCATAAGGTTTACATTTCTTGTTCGGTTTTTATAGTCAGGAATCCCCTTATCTTTATTGCTCATACGCCATGTTGCCCCTGCTTATGTATTTTATCCTTAAGAATCGCAGTAAATTTGGTTTGTAAGCGCATCTAACCCTTTGTGGGGATAAAATGTTTTGTGTTTATGAACGTAAATCCTACCAAGGATGAAATGTGGTTATTGTGTATATGCATTTCAGGGGAAAATGT